ATAATCAAAGGAACAGAAAGCAGCAAATCCAAGAGAAATCGGAACACCTGTATTTGCAGCAGAATAGTATCACACACCAAAGCCAACAGGAGGGACCAACCCAGCTGCCCAGCCACAGAGGAAGGGGTGCATGGAGTACTACTCGGCCTTGAAAAAGAAGGCATCCTGATGTTTGCCCATAGCATAGGAGAACTGTGAGTAACACGTCGCTCAGTGAAATAAGCCAGGTGGTTTAAACAGATACCGCAGAATTGCCCTTACATGAGGCTCCCCGAATCATCAAATCCAGAAAGACAGAAACGAGATGCCTACGTTCCTGATCTTGGGGGACGGGAAGAATCCGGGCATTATATTCTACAGGGAGTAGTTTGGAAACACAAAGAGCTCTGCAGGTGGCTGACGGCGATGGTTATACAACGCCATGAATGTATGTCACGCTGCGGAACCGTGCACCACAAATGGGAAAAATTCTGTGTCAATTAAAAAAAAAAAATCAGGCCAGTTGGTGAGATCAACGCTAAATAAGAACCAGGTCTGCTAACCGGGGCAGTGGGCCGTCACGTGCACGTGGAAATTCTGTTCAGTCCTAAATAAACGGGAGGAGCAGAGTTTGCAGGATGTGGGGGAGCAGCGATCCTAGAGGTGAACATCACCAACTGATGTAAGACCCAGCCAGCAAGATTACAGAGCACGATTCTGCGCATGTCTGTGGATGATTGGCACGTAGGGCAGCAAATCAAAGATGAAAGCCTCGCCCCCGGATGTGGCTGCATCAACCAATAGGCTTGCAGCCTGGATGGACGAAGGCGGGAAAGGAAGGGGAAGTGCCGCCATCTTGAAAGCGCTCTCCTTCCGGGATGAGCCGCCTTTGCACGTCGGGCTCTGCATCTGCGGGGCGTTTGTCTGTCTTTCCCGAGCACACTCACCCTGGAGGCTTCCCAGGGCGCTTCCGGGCTTTCAGACTCGAGCTCCCGCTGCATGCTCGAGCTCCTTGTGTTTGCAGATTGCATGTTGGACGGAGCAGCGCCAGGGTCCTGCAGCAATCCATGGTGGACTCAAGGCTTTCATCCTGCGAGCTGCTCGCCTAATGACCCCCAGAGCTCTGATTGATCCTGTTCTTCCCTCACTGATGCACTGGGGGAAGGGAGGTCCTAGGGTACAGGGCTGTGTTCCTGCCAAGAGATGGGCTGCAGCGGAGATGGGGTGCAGGATGGGACCACAGTGATGGTGGCAGGTCGTGGGAGGCTGATCGTTCTTAGGGCGAGCGTGTCGCGTGTGCAAACACTGCTGGGAGTGACCCAGGACAGAGGGGGAAGCTGGTGGTGCTGAGCAGCATCAGGCTCCTGGGTGTGAGCTCCTGGGTGTGAGCCCCTGGTGTGCTCATGCACAATGTCCGTCCCCCAGCAAGTGGCTCAGACCTGCAAGCATCTAAAGGCTCCTTGTCCGCCAGAGCAGCAGGCCGAGACACTCGCGGGCTCCAGGGCCAAGCCTCGTGGGGCCTGTTTATTAACAGCAGCTGGCCACTCTGCAGGGCGCTTCCCCTCTGGCAGCGGGAAAATGGGTGGCCTTGCTGCAGGCAGGGCTGGAGTTAGGTCAGATCAGGGCTTCAGGGACACACACACGCAGGCACAGTCGTCTCCGCCTCGGGGTCACCTTGAGTCCGGCACCCTGCAGCTCTGAGCCGCTTTGGCGCCAATCACGAGCGGGCTGCTTGGTTTTGATTTGAACTGCAGGGTCTGGGTCGTTGTGTGGTCAGCGATGGAAACCTGCAGGACAGCCGGACACCGGCTGCACCGTAAATCTGTCCTCCTTTACCTGGAGAGCCATAACAGGACCTCAGGCCGGCCAGGGAACGCGTCCACCTTGAAGGACAGAGCTGCAGGCTGGGCAGCGTCCCGGGCTCCGCGCCAGCGGCTGAGAGCTGCCCGGGTCTGTCTGCGGCCATCGCGGGGCTTAGTCCCCCCGGGCTGCCCCAGCAGGCTGGCACCCCCGGCGGGAACACACGGGTGCTGTCCATGCTGTGCAGAAACAAATCTCCCTCGTCTCCTGTTTACCAAGCACGCGTCTGCCAAGGGTGTTCGTTTCCTGCAGCAGCCACTGCCTGCTGGGGCAGGTGACCTTGCATTTGGAATCGAGCCTGAGTCTGGCGGTGACTCAGAGCACGGAGGCCCCCGGGGCCAGAACGCCAGGCTCGCTGTAACAGGAAGGGACAGAGAGGCCCACAGACAGCACAGGTGCTGGGCAGGGCTGCTGAGCGTCCTTCATCTGTGAGGCAGGGCTGCCCTGCGTCTCCAAAGCTGCACAGAGCAGCTTCAGTCCTGTGCGGGACCCCCAGACCACATCCTGTGGCTATTTCCAGTCCAAAAAAGCAAAAACAAAAAGTCAATCAAGCCACCTGGGAAGTGCAAGCCATTGTCAGGATCCCAGCAGGGACGTGAGTTTAGCACCAGAGGGACTGGGGAGACTGGGGGTTTTGTGGGGACAGGGGACCGTGTTTGGGGGTGAAGGAAGGAATCTGGAGGCTTTCTTTTTGCTGAAGAATTCAGACAGGCACAGGCGGGTGCTAAGCAGAGTGACCTGGACACAAAGGGGCCGCTGGAGCGGGGTCAGCAGCGCGTTCACCCCGCGAGGTCAGGGGACAGACGGGTCATTAGCTCAGAGGAAAATCCGAACCCCCGTTGAGCAGGACAGAAACTTCAAACACTGGCTCGGAAACACTCTCCAGCAACTCCCTGACCTGGCCAGAGTTTAGAGGCGAAGGATGCTGATTTTCTTTTTTCTGGTACAGGACTCGAACTCAGGACCTCAGCTTGCCTGGCAGGCGTCTGTGTCGCTGAGCTACGTCCCCGGCCCAACGTTCCACTTTTCAAAGCAGAAACCTTGCTGTATAACTTGAGCACCGGGCGCAGATGGTCGCACCAGACAGAGGCAAAGGGCTGCTGATCTTTTTTTTTTAAACAAATCCTCCACACTTTGCTCCCCGCAGGGGCTCTCGAGGAAGACGAGGAAATGGATTCCTGCCGCCCAGGCCAGGGAACCCGGACAGGCCGAGGGCACTGACGGGGCCAGGGGCAGGCAGCGGCGGCTGCGGGCTGGTAACACGTCAGCCACCAACAGGGTGGCCGCTCCCTGCCCCTAAATCTTTATCACTGATGCAGGAGGCCAGGCGATGTCAATAAACTGTTTATAAATGCAGGTGGCCAGTCTGTGCCAACGAAACTTTATTTACAAATGCAAGGGCCGGGGATTTACCTCAGTGCCATACGCACCTGCCTGACAAACGTGAGGTCGCGCAATTAATCCGTAGTACAAAAAAAAAAAAAAAAAAAAAAAAAAAAAAAGAAATCGAAACCCCCCCCAATCAAAAAAAACACAGTAGCCAGTCCTTGTTAGTAAACTATAAATGCAGACAGTCTATACCAATAAAACTTTACTCATAAATGCAGGGGGCCAGGCTTTGCCAATAAAACTTTATTTATAAATGCAGGCAGCCAGGCACTGCCAATAAAACTTTATTTGTAAATGCAGGCTGCCAGGCTGTGCCATTGACTTATGCAGGTGGCCACTGCGTGCCAATAAAGCTTTATTTACAAATGCAGGCAAACCATCTGTGTCAATAAAGCTTTATTCATAAATGCAGATAGCCAGACTGTGCCAAAAAACTTTATCTATAAATGCAGACAAGCAGTCTATGTCAATAAAACTTTATTTATAAAATCAGGAGGCCAGCCCATACCAATAAAACTTTCTGTATAGACACAGGCAGCCAGTCTGTGCCAATAAATATTTACAAATGCAGGCAAACTATCTGTGTCAATAAAGCTTTATTCATAAATGCAGATAGCCAGACTGTCCCAAAAAACTTTATCTATAAATGCAAGTGAACAGTCTGTGTCAATAAAACTTTATTTATAAAATCAGGAGGCCAGCCCATACCAATAAAACTTTCTGTATAGACACAGGCAGCCAGTCCCTGCCAGTAAAACTGTATTTATAAACGCAGGCGGCCAGTCTGCAGCATAGCTCTGTCAGTATATTTTTTTGCAACAAAACTGAAGCGTGATGCTTCAGGTATTTAAAGCAGGAGTGTCATATGATGCGGTCAGTGATCAGTTACGGCATGCATGAAATGGTACGCATAGGTGTGAAGGAGGGAAGCCCTGAGCACGCGGGGCCCAGGAGCCGAGCACACCAAGGGGGCCGCTCCTCTCGGGCAACCGATTTACCTCCAAAGTGTCCCGGGGATGCTGTAACCAGCCGTGCGCTTGCCAAGTGGGTGCCAGGCTAAAGCATCAACCACCAGGACGGAAAGGACAGCCAAGAGGGCAGAGATGCGTCCACGAGAGACGGAAACAGGACGAGAAGCCGACAGACACTCAGACCCCGCCAGGGACGGAGGACGGCTCCTGGGGGACACGGAAGCGGGGGGCACGGTGCGGGAGCTCGTTTGATGAGTGACTTTCAAACCGTTCTGTCGTCACGTCCAGGGAATGTATTGATAAAAGAACCAGCAACATCCGGAACCTCAGCAAGTCCTGGTGGGAAATGGCAGAAAGTACCGGGACTCACGAGGAATAAAAGGGGAAGAAAGCGCCACGCAGAGAACCCAGGTCCCAAAATGAAAATAAACAGCCTCCCGCGGACACAGGCGGGGAATTCACCCCTAGGTCACAGCCGCTGACAGCCTCGGGGTCTAAACGTGCACACAACTGCAGCCTGCACAATCTGCATGTTTTCTAAGTCAAAGTCTGACACACAACAGCCCGGCGGCCGGATGCACACCCACGAGACCTCCCCGCACAGGGGACGCCCGGCCTGTTTCTGAGTCAGGATCTGGCTGCAGCCAGGCCGGCCCTGAGCTCACCGTGCAGCCCGGCTGGTCTCGAACGACCCGTGATCCTCCTGCCTCAGCCTCCCGAGTGCCGGATGACAGGCGCGCACCCCGTCCCGACTCCGTGACTGCAGATCACCGAGACCCCGGGAGCCCCAGCGAGCCTTAC